ATAGATAGATAGATAGATAGATAGATAGATAGATAGATAGATAGATATGGATGGATAGGTAGGTAGGTAGGTAGGTAGGTAGATAGATAGATAGATAGATAGATAGATAGAGAGATAGAGAGATAGAGAGATAGAGATAGAGATAGAGATAGAGATAGAGAGATAATTCAGGGGTCTTCAAACTTGACAGCTTTAAGATTTGTGGACTTCAACTCCCAGAATTCATCCTCCAGTCATTAGCTCAGGAATTCTGGGAGTTTGAGGACCTTTGAGATAGATAGATAGATAGATAGATAGATAGATAGATAGATAGATAGATAGATAGATAGATATGGAGAGATAGAGAGATAGGGAGGGAGAGAGAGATAGTGATAGAGCAGAGGTCTTCAAACTTGACAGCTTTAAGACTTGTGGACTTCAACTCCCAGAATTCCTCTTCCAGTCATGTTAGCTCAGGAATTCTGGGAGTTGAAGTCAACAAGTCTTAAACTTGCCAAGTTTGAAGAGCCTTGATTGAGGAGGGTGAGCCATTTGCAAGCAAACCCAAGTATGTTTAATTGAGATGATTAGATTCCTAGGAGGAGATTATTATTTTTTCTAATTTATTTACTTGGTGGGAGGACCTGTTTGTTGGACAGCATGCCTCATTTAAAACCATTCACATTAGAGAACAGGATCTCCATGGGGACTGTATTATTAAACACAGAGGAAGTTTAAAATAATTCCCAAGTGACCTCAGACACAGCACAGTCATGGTTGAACAAATTGGGTCTGATCTTAATTCTGCTGGTGTCATTTCAGCTTTCAACCCAGAAGTTACTTCTACCTAAGAATTATCTGCCAGTTTAAAAGTCAACTCTAGATTTTTGTATTTGCACATTAGCAACAGTAGTTGGAGAGATAAGTGAATTGATTTTTTGGCTAGCTGTGGTGTAACTGAAGCTACTGTCTATGGATATTCTCAGTCATCCAGGTCATGGCTGTCTCAAAGGTGCTTTTTTTCAAGAGGCAAACTGGACTCTCTCTCCCTCCTTCCCTCCCTCCCTCCCTCTCTCTCTCTCCCTCCCTCCATCTCTTTTTTCCTCCCTCGCTTCCTCTTTCCCCCTCTCTGTCTCTCCTTCCTTCCCTTCCTCTTTCTCCTTCCCTCCTTTTCTCCCTCTCTCTCTCCCTCCCTCTCTCTCCCTCCTTCCCTCCCTCCCTCTCTCTCTCTCTCTCCCCCTTTTTGAGAAAATAACAACTAAAAGAAGGAGCGTATGGGCTTGCAAGGACACAGAAAAGATATCAGATCCTTCCATTAGCTGCTGCCTACTGACATACCCCCAAATAATGGGAAATTATTAAGCTGGCCACCTCACTGTTTACCCTACTTCCCGATCATTATATAGGATTACTTCAGTAGTTTTGGGGAAGGTTTTTTTTTTAAAATATGTACTGGACTTGCTTGGTAAGAAAGATGATCAAGATGCTATTTAACTCCATGCAAAGTAGTAATGCTACGTATTCTCTTTATTCAGGAAGGGTTGAGGATGCTCGTTTCAAGGGATTTGGACTGTACCAATACAATGTACATTCAGTTTTCATTCAGATTTTTAGCTAGAGGTAAGTATTTTAAAAGAAATACTTTGGAGTTCCGATTACCACTGCATCACAATGTTGTTCCCCTTTAGCCAGTTAATGATGGTTGTTCCCTGCAGTTTTCCTACCAGAATTTTTTAGAAATGGTTTGCTAAAGAACTAGCTGGTTTTGTGCCTTAGGCGAGATTAGAACTGACTGTTTTCTTATCCTGATGCCTTAATCACTACACCAAACAGGCGTAACGATAAATTAATATAATCCTTGCTGAGTGCAAAAGTGAAGCAAGTTCACAAACAACCCATTGTGACTCAGAACCAAGACACAGCAAAAGAGACCTAATGAAGCTAGAAAGATTCTTCCAAACTGTAGTATGTTCCCCAGAATCTGTGGGGATTAATACTACATTTTATACTTATTTATACTAATGTACTATACCCATGATGGGGAACCTCTGGCACGCGTCAAAACTATGTCAAAACATCAGTTGGTTACATTTTAAAACCTGTGTTGTATTGTTGACCACTCTATAAAGGCTACTTTAAAAACTAAGTTGTGATAATAATCACAAAAAACAGCCGGAGACACGTGAACAATATGGAAGAGGTTTATTATTAAGCTTTTGCAAAAGGGAATTCTGCTCATGGCAGTAGACATGGTTCCCAGGAAGGCTGGAGTTTATATACAGGTTTGAATATACAGTCTCTGCCCCTTTCCTGGGTTCACAATCTATCCAAGCTACATATCTCCCTATGCCACACCCATAGTATTGTAACATAACACCTGTTTCCTTGTCCTTGGAAACCACCCTCATTCTTATGGCTTCTTCTTCCTGTTATGGTCCTGTTATGACCATCTAAGCACAATGGATCATGAATAGATTTCCGTTGGGTCAGAAGGACCCAGCATCTCTCACATTTATCTATAGGCCAAGATTACAAACACCTATTCCAGCCAAGAACTTAACACTTTTAAAACATAACAAGTTACAAAGCATAATGTATTTCTTAGATACAGTTATATAACTGTCCAATAATCATTGCACAGTTCATATATTGGATAAACATGGATTCTCTTCTGTTCTTCGTTTTCTCAGGTGTAACTTAACAATATATGTAATTTCCACATATAACGTAAGTTAAGTTGATTTCATAGCTGAACACAAGGTAAGTTTTTGTAATTGATTCATCTTGTCACTGTTGTCATTACAACATTTTCCCTTATGTTTCAGGTACCCCAGAGAGATCACATTCTATTCTGCTCCAGTATTCCCTCAATGGAGGAATCACGTGGCACCTGATAGATGAGTTTTACTTCACCCAAACAACTGATGTCCTTTTCATTAACATCCCACTGCCATATTCAGCGCGAAACAGTGCTACCCGTTTCAGGATCTGGCAACCCTACAACAACGGTATAGAACGAAGGATCTAGATTTGGATGGGTTTGAGATACAGCAGGGGGGGTCAAACTCAAGGCCCATGGGCTGGACATGGCCCACAGAGTGCTTAAATCTGGCCCGTGGGACCATCCTGGAAATAGCAAAGGACCAGCTCACGGTGCCCCATTTTGGCTGGCAAAGTGCTGCAGGAGGCCGTCCAGGCTGAAAACAGGGCATGTCCCCTCCGTGCCCCATTGTTCTGACTGAGGCTTCCTGAGACCATAATTAAGCACACGCTTGGTCCAAACAATTCTTGATTTATTTCAGTGCTGGGAATTATGTTCATTCCCAGCCTGTAATGAGTCCCAAACAGTCCCTCGAGATAAGCACTCACCTTTATCTCCTTTGAGTTGCTGCCAACAACTAAAGTGCTGAATTAACTGTAAAAAATCAACTGAAGTACAAAGTCCACACAGAACTTCAACGTTTAATCTGATCAGAGCAAATGACTTTGCTTCCTGCAAAGGTTTCTCTACCTTTGCACCTCCTTTATACCTTATGGGAGGAGCAATCACCTCCAAGCCTTACTCCCGAGTCGCCCCTTTTGTCCTAACTGTTCTTGCCTTCTGGCAGCTCTGCGCACACGCACACTGGGAACAGGCTCCCCTTGTTCCTCTGCCTCACTGCTGCCAGACTCCGGAGGCTCCAGAGTCAGCACCCCACTCCCAGATGGTCCTGGCCCCATCTCTGCATCAGATGCAGGACCCTCATCTGAGTTGTCTCCAGACTCCTGGACTGGTCCCCATTCTTCCCCACTGTCCAATTCTGCTGCTGTCTCCACAGACTGCCGGCGAATCACAACACCCATTTTGGCCAGCAGGGTGCTGCAGGAAGTGTCCATCCCATCTCCCCTGCCCCCTAGCCAGCCCATGGAGGAGAATTACAATGCTGATCTGGCCTTTGAAGAAATCCAGTTTGACACCCCTGAGATACAGGCCGTCTTGCGACCGATTGCTTAGCAACCAAATTTACTACCGAATCGAAACGGGATTTATATGACTCGGGTTGAAAGTTCTGACTGTCTTTTTGGGTAAATGTTTATCAGAGATCCCTAGTAGGAAGATGAAATATGTAACAATTCATATCCTAACTGCAGCCAGATTAGCGTTTGCCCAGTGTTGGAAATCACCCTATGCACCTACAGAACAAATGGTCATCCAGAAAATATGTGATTGTGCAGAAATGGATAAATTAACTATAGCACTTAAAAACAAAGAGTCTTCAACATTTTACGATAATTGGAACTCTTGGTATAATTGGTTAGTCCAGAGATAAACTGCTTAATGGACAATGGGTAATTTAAGCATAGATATCGATAAGATGTGTGTATTCAAATTAAGGTAGGAGAATTGGATCTTGCAGACTGTCAAAAAGGATATTGTCTGTTTTTTAAACGCATCTTTTTTTTTCTTTTTTCTCTTTCTCTTCCTTTGTTTCTTTCTTTCTTTTACATCTCTTCTTCTCTTTTCCTTCCAGTTTGTAAGACCGAGTGTTCTTTTTTTGTTTTTTTTCCCTTTTGTGTATGTAATGTCGATATGTTTTTAATTGTAAATTTAATAAAAAAAAATTTTTTTAAAAAAAAAAGAAAGTTCTGACTGTCGGGCCCTCTTCCGTGATCACATGACTGAACGTTGGTTGCTTGACAACAGGGGCACATTTACAGCCATTTGCAGAGTCATGGGATCATGTGACCCATGTTTTATGACACTTTTGTTGAAATTGGGTACTTCTTTCCAGTTTTTGGCAAAACTGTGTCGTAGCAAACCATTGGTTCACCCAACAACTATGGTGTTCAGTTAATGACTGCAGGTTCATTTAACAAATGTGGCAATTCGCTTAACAACCATCCCATAAAAGGTTGTAAAATCGACTGTTATGGCATATGACTGTGAGGGGCCAGCTCCATTATCGTCGTATGTTGAGTATTGCCTTTACGTTATGATTCAGTTTGAGCAGCAAGCAAGTTCAGTGGCATATTCTTAATGACAAACTCAATGTGCTTGAGCTGATGGGCCAGAGAAGGGTTAATTAAAGTTATCTCCTTGTGTCAACTTACCATTATTTAGTTTATGATTTGGAATTTGCAGGTGAAAATATTACTAATCATAATCACTTCTTAAAGTGTTTTAGGAAGCACTTAGTGGCAACCGATTAACTATTCCGTTGCATTCAATTATTTCCTAGTGGTTTCTAACAACTGGACCAGTCGTTATCAAGATTTTATTTATTTTTTTACTTTTCCTAGGTAAGAAGGAGGAGATTTGGATTATAGACAACTTCATTATTGATGGAAATAACCTCAAAAATCCTGTGATCCTTTCGGATACCTTTGACTTGGGCCCAAAGGAAGACAACTGGTTTTTCTATCCTGGTGGTAACATTGGACTTTACTGTCCATATTCATCCAAAGGAGCACCGTATGTATTTTAAAAAGTCATAAATATACATAGTGAGATATGTAGGTAAGGAGTGAAGTGGAGAAGAATGGAATAGAATAGAATAAGAAACAAATGGAATGGAGTGGAATGGAATGGAATAGTACAGAACAGAACAGAACAAGAAACGAGTGGAGTGGAGTGAATTGGAATAGAACAGAATAAGGAATAGAATAGGGAATGGAAATAGAATAGAATAGAATAGAATAGAATGGAATGGAATGGAATGGAATGGAATGGAATGGAATGGAATGGA